ATGAAGATTCCAGTTGTTTGATACTACAATAGAGAGAACAAGTCTGACAGTAGCTGCTTTCACAACTGGGCTGAAGGTATCTTCATAATCTATCCCATACCTTTGCTTAAAACCCTTTGCAACTAGTCTTGCTTTGTATCTATCTATTTCTCCATTTGCTCTTCTTTTGATTCTATAGACCCATTTACAATCAATTATATTTCTACCTTTTGCTGGAGGAACTAAATGCCATGTTCTGTTTTTCATAAGAACATTATATTCCTCATCCATTGCATTTTTCTAGTCTTTATGTTCTAAAGCTTCTATCAAGTTATGTGGTTCTCCAGTGGTGGTAAGACCAACAAATCACACCTTATCATACCTCACTGTACCATCTGTACGTATTTTTGGTGTCGAAATACCGTATTGTGATCTTGTTGTCCTCTATGTTGGTGCAGGAATAACCACAGAACCATCATCCGCAGAAGATCCATCCGTCCTCGTTCCAGGCGCTGGAGCAGCTGATCCGGATGCATCCGATCCGATGCGGATGCTGTCAGCCTCATGCGACGCGCCTGATTGGCCGGTGAGAGGGCCGAGGCGGATGCTGCCCCCTGCTTGTGAGGCACCCGGCTGGTCGGCCCGACCGCGTGCAGGAACCGCGCCACCTGACGGTTCGAGACAGACACGCTTGACTGGTCGGGCGCGGAGTGCGCTTCCGGGCCCCCGCCTGCGGGCCCCTGGCTGGACGTGTGGGGCGTCGCTGGTGGCTCGCCTCCTCCCGAGGCGGATACGCCGCCACTGCTACTGATAGGTGCGCCAGACGAGGGGGAATCAACCCCGGGATCGCCGCTGTCAAGATCCGCTGCAGCACCTGAATTTGTATGGTGTTCCGCGCCTGTCTGTTGCATAAAATCATGAAAAACGACCGGATTTCCACCAAAATTAACAGCAGAATTTTTATGAAGATCACCCGATGGATCAGCTGTTTGTTCATCCCCATGATCAAGAGGTTCAGAGGGCATGGCTTCAGGAAGGAGGAGAACTTTGGAGCGAAGAGGAGTTCCGGCGTTTGGATTTAAAGCAGCAAAGGGAAAAACCGATTCATCAAAGATGACATCACGAGAAATATACATCCGTCCTGCTTGTATATCAAGACATTTAAAACCTTTGTGAAGATTGCTGTAGCCAAGAAAAACGCATTGCGTTGAGCGAAATTCTAGCTTTCTAGAGTTGAAGGGACGGAGATTTGGTCAGCAAGCACAGCCAAAAGTGCGTAGAGCATGATAATTTGTTTTTTTCATGGAACAACTTTTCTAAGGGAGTTTCAAGGTTGATCACCTTATTAGGAGTGCGGTTTATGAGATAAGTGGCAGCGTTTCGTCCCAAAATTTCAAGGGCATGGAAGCATGAGCCAAAAGCGAGAGGCCTACATCTACAATGTGGCGGTGTTTTCTCTCGGCTGACCCATTCTGTTGATGGGCATGAGGACATGACACATGGTTTGTGATGCCTATCTGACGGAAAAAGGAGTTTAGGCACTCATACTCGCCTCCCCAGTCCGTTTGCATAGTAATGATTTTTCGGTCAAAAAGACGTTCAACAAGTACTTGAAACTCATGGAAAACTTTGAACACTTCTGATCTATGTTTGAGAATGTAGATCCAAGTGAACTTACTGAAATCATCTATGAAACTCACATAATAGTTTTTCTTATTGATTGAATCTCGGGCAGGCCCCCATACATCAGAAAAAACTAGCTCTAAAGGAGCATTGAAAACACTACTAGAACTCGGATAGGGTAGTTGATGGCTCTTGCCTTGTTGGCAAGCATCACACACACCCTGATTATGAAAAGGAAATATTATTGTGCTTAAGAACATGCTGAACGATCGTCGAAGATGGATGACCTAAACGATTGTGCCACCGTGATGATGAGATCTTGGTGGCGCCAAGTGCATGCCTGCCCGAGCTTACGGGAGATGATGATAGGGGATAGAGCCCGTTTCTACACCTGCCGCGGAGGAGGGTTTTCTTCGTTGCCTTGTCCTTGACACAGAAAAAGTGAGGGTGAGTTTCAAGAAAAACATGATTTTCATAGGATAGCCGATGAGCAAAGATCAAGTTCTTGGTGGCATTTGGTACATGCAGGATATTTTTGAGATGGAGATTGCGGGAAGGGGTACGAACATAAGCATGACCTATATGAGCAATCTTCATACCTGCGCCGTTGGGCATGTTTACTTGATCATGCCCGTTGTACTTGTCCCGGACGGTGAGCTTGCCGAGCTCGCTGGTGATGTGATCTGGCGCTCCAGAGTCCACATACCAGTTGGTATCCACTCCGTAGGAGGATTGGGAGTTGGCGTGGTTGGTGTTGACGGCCGCCGCGCTCTTCTCTTTGTTGAAGGAGATGTTGAAGCGGCGGTAGCACTCCATGGCGGTGTGGTTCGGCTTGGTGCAGATTTGACAGAAGACTTCCAGAAGATCATTGCGACCTTCCCCTCCGTTGCCGCGGCCACCGCCTCCGTTTCCTCGGTCGCCTCCATAGCGACCACCATTGCCACCGCGGCCACCACCGCGGTTGGGTCCGCCACGTCCGTCGTGTGAGACGGCGTTGGCAGAGGAGTGGGACGACTGGCCGTCGCCCTCAAACATAGCCAGCCCGCTTTCAAAGTTAATGAGCTGCGAGTAAAGCTCGCTCACCTTGATGGATTCAGTTCGGGCGCAGATGGTGGAGACGAACGACATGTAGTCGAAATCGAGCCCCGCAAGGATGTAGGACACCATGTCGTCGTCGGTGAGAGGCTTTCCTACAGATGCCATCTCATCGCCGAGCGCTTTCATGCGGCCGAAGTACTCGGCCGCTGTCGAGTTGCCCTTCTTCGTCATGGAGAGCGATTCTGGTGTTGACGATATGCGCTTGAGTCTGGGAGATAAAGATCTCCGTGATGGCGACCCAAGCTTTGGCCGCCGTGTTGCAGTGTGCAACCTGGATCATCACTGGTGCTGAGATTGAATTAAAGATGAAACTCAGCACCTGGGAGTCACGGGCCCTGTCGATGTCGTACGCCGGATTGGGCACATTGGTGGGCTTGCCGTCCTTGTCCGTGAGCTTCCGGGCTGGCAGCTCCCTCTCAGGGTCGAGGTAGGAGACGAGCTGCGCGCCCCGGATAGCTGCCATGGCCTGCGCGCGCCACACCAGGAAGTTGGAGCGATGAAGGCAATCGGCGATTGGGATGAGGGCTGGTGGATTGGGATGAGGGCTGGTGTGGTGATGGCGGAGCTTGAGGAGGCCATGGTTGCGCGATGTGCTAGAGAAGGAGGCTCTGAATACCATATAAGATTGCGTTAAGCGTATGCCTAGCAGGGACGCGTTGCGTGTTATATATAGGCCACAATGCGGCTAGGGTTTACAAGGATTTAGTTGGTTAGGTTGTTGGATTGATCTCCAAGTTAACTATACAAGATAGAGATTCTCCAACAACCTACCAATCAAGTTACACAAAGATAAACATGCCGCACCGGCCCTGCAGCGTATATACGGTTTATACTTGCACCATAATACGCATACAAATATTCTAATACATTCAGGAGTAAAATCTATATATCCTGTTACTTGCACCTTCAGTTTGGAGGTTGAGTGCCTTCTGCTCCTACACAGCGTAAATTTTCATTGCAATAGGCATTGGACAGAAGCTCCAAAACGCTAGATAGTCATGAGATTGTGCACTGCAGAGTGCAGATATCAGGCAATAGTGGAAGGAACTAACTGGCATGCATTCAGTTAATTTGCGAATAACATCATACATGAGCAATGAACTAAATGTAGTAGAAACTCCAAAACAAATCAAGTGAAACTCTCCCCGCCAAAAAAGAAAAAGAAAAAAATCAAGTGAAACTCACTTTCTGTTTCGAAATATTGTGATGCGAATTGGTGATGGTCTTCAAGGTTCTGCCTCTGCACCAACTTCAAACGGCAGTACAGATACTTCAACAATGGCAGCAACCAGTGCGCGATCCATCGCGACCGAGGTGACGAAACAAATGTCACGAGACTTCGACGATAGCAGCACGAAAGATAGAAGGAGAACAACGGTACACATGAAGAATTTTGGCCTTTTGGGGAGACTTGAGGCAGGTGCTTATCCTAAGATAGCAAATGTGCTTGCTAAATACATGCTTGATTACGCTCCGGCAATTTACAAATGGTTATGGATAGTAACTAGCACTGATGCACAGATACTAAAATCATTTAATCCCCTACAAAGAGAAGGTTGCATTATTGGAGTAGACAAGTTTAGATGCTTGTACTGCGGCTATATCATCTCTCTTTAAGCACCATATGTCACTATCAGCATAGACATTATACATGGCTTCATACTAGGCACTAAGCACTATATGTGTTAATTTCATTTCAAACGCAACCAAACGCTATGAAGCTTCTATCACAACTATGACACCTGGGAGCAATGGAGCATTGTTAACAGGAAACTTAGTTGACAAATACTTAGTGGAGCATCTATCATCGGCCACATGTTAACTACCCTTGCACCTTGCATAATTATTTTGACTAACTAACAGTAACAAGTATAGCACTTGTTCATTGTTCCTTGTTCCTAGATGTCAATTGAGACGTGCAAACACTCTGAAATCTGAACAAAGTGCCAGGACCAAAAAAACAAAATTTCAACAATAGTTTCTGAACTGCAGATCAGGACACTCTGAACTATATACTTGTACCTTCAGATCAGACGCATCAGCAAAAAATCAGGATAAAACCATACTCTAGGGAGCAACAATTTGTTCTACCACGTTATTCCTGATTTTGCATATATCCCAATTCAATCATCCAAAAGATTTTCCGAGCAATGAACACAAAAATTCAAGCTAAAGTTGTACGTATCATATTGCTATATGCAGCTACGTACTGCTATCCCAATCCCGAACAATGCCCTGATTAGGAAAGCAATAACCTGATGTAGTGAACGAACCCGTGGCCGATCCCCACGGCGAAGCCACTACCACTGCCACTGCGGTGGCTTCCGGTCTTCGGCCAGCATGGCGAGGCGGCGGAGGACGTCGGCTCTGAGAGCATCGAGCGCCGCGGCGAACTCTGGCAGCTCCGCCTCCCCGAGCGCGTCCACATCCACCTCCCACCAGTGCGCCCTCCCCTGTTCCTCCTGCGCCGCCTTGACCTTCTCCGCGACGGCGCGCAGCCGCGCCTGCTCCTGCGCGACCCGCGCTCCGATCCACCCCGCCTCACGCCTCATCGCAGCCACGCGCGCCGCGGCCTCCTCCGCCGTCTCCGCCCCTACGTCGGCGTCGACAACGACGTTGCGGAGGACGGACTCGAGGGTGGGGTTGCCGAAGAGGAGGGGTTTGGCTTTGCCAGAGGCGGGGAAGGCGAGGATGGCGAGGTGGGGCGCGAAGAGCTCGGAGATCTCCCAGGCGTCCTGGACGAGCCTGTCGCGACGGTACCTGATCCTGTTTTGCAGGTTTTCCCGGGTGCGATCCCCGTCCTGCCGCCGCCGCACGGTGCCCTTCGCCGTCGCCATTGCTTCGGCGGTGATGCTAGTACTGTACTACTTGCTTTGCTTTGGGGTATGAACTGGGAATGGCACTTTTTGTAAACTTCTTGGCAACTTAAGAAAAGGAAATAATTTTTGGGAAACGTTTGGGACCGGGGCACCGGCCGAATATTCGGCCGGTCCAATCCACGCGCGCGCGATGCAACCCACTCACGAGCAATCACGTGGCGTGATGGACCCGAGACGACTAGTCCTCCTTCCTTTTCTCTTTTCTTCCTCTCACGCATCTCTCTCTTTCTCTCTCCCCGCTGCCATGGTCAACGCATCACCCCGCGCCGCAGGCCTCCTAGGCGCGCCGCCGTTCAGCAGATCTGGCCGCCCTCGACCAGATTCGCATGGATCCGCGTGCATCGAAGCTCTCCCTACCTCGCCGGACCGGCCACGCCGGAGCTGCAACCAGCCATGGCAGGACTGCACCCCGCGGCGCAAATTTGCTGGAACCTCGACGTCACGACGAGACGACGGATGACCATTTTTTTGCTACAACCGTGTTTTGCTTTTGCTACTACCATAGAGATTTTTTGCTGGAACCGATGGTATTTTTTGCTTCAATCAGAGATGCGCGATAGCTCGGGAGGCTGGCGAGTGCTGCAACCGTTGACAGGAAAGCCTCAACCCAAGATTAAAAATGCTTCAACCGTATATACAGAAAGCTGTAAGCGATCAGTGCTATCGAGGAAAGCTGCACCCGTCTATATAAAACGCTACAACCTTTGATGAAAAAAGCTTCAACCGAACGATAGAGAAAAGCTTTCACCCAGACGCTGCTCAAAAAGAAAAAAATTTCAGTCTTTTACAAAAATGCTTCCATCGTAGAGGGGAAAAGCTTCAACCATTGAGATAAAAGCTACAACCGTGTCAATTTTTTGCTACTACCCTCTGTGTATTTGCTACATCCATTCATGCGGCCATGGTGCTTTTTTACGACTGAGGTGTGACCGGCGACGACGAGGACGACATTTTTGTTGCAACATCCTCGTTTTTTGCTACCATTGGCGCTGTGTTTTGCTACATCCGATTAACATTTTTGCTACAATGGCGACGCCGATGGATTTTTTTGCTACAACCGTTGTCTTCATTTGCTACGACCGACACGGGAAAATGCTACCACGGGGCATCTCTGTTTTTTTACTGGAACCAATCATCGGTGAGGCGGAGCTGCATCCATGGCACTCCGATGAGCAGCGGGGGCAGCGAGCGGTCGGGGCGAGCTGAGTCCCGAAGCGCAGGGCGACTCCGACGGGCGGTCGGGGCGGCGAGCAGACTGGACGAGCTGAGTCGCGGAGCTGCATTCATGGCGCTCCGACGGGCGGCTGAGACAGCAAGCGGTCAGCTCCAACCGGCGGCCGGGGCGGCGAGCGGCCAGGGCGAGCTGAGTGCCGGAGCGTGGGGCGGCCCCGATGGGCGATCGGCACGGCGAGCGCTCGGAGAGACGAGGACAAGGTAAAAAAAATAGCAGAGGAGCTCGGATCTGACGGTGTTGCACAGCAGATCGGGCGGCTGGGAGCAGACCGGCCGAAACATTCGGCCGGTGCGCCGACGCCTAGCGGTGCCCATAATTTTTTTTATTGAAGGTCACTCAAGTAGACAAGCTTTTTTTGTTCTTTCGCACACATTGGCCTGTGTAGAGTTATATTTTTTTTGAGAACTTCCGATCTATTCATTCAATTATGGCATAGTGTTAATAGCATAAAATTATCAATTTTCTTTAAAAAAATAGACCATGATCTATTTTTTAGGAGAGACCATGATATACGACAGAGGAGTAAGTACAACAGTGGGTTATAAGCCCTCTTGTTGGTGTCAAAACCGATGAATCTCGGTTAGGGGGTTCCGAACTATGCGTCTAAAATCGATGGTAACAGGAGACGGGGGACACAACGTTTACCCAGGTTCGGGCCCTCTTGACGGAGGTAATACCCTACTTCCTGCTTGATTGATCTTGATGAATATTAAGATTACAAGAGTTAATCTACCACGAGATCGTAATGGCTAAACCCTAGATGTCTAGCCTGTATGATTGTGATTGCCTCTACGGACTAAACCCTCCGGTTTATATAGACACCAGAGGGGCCTAGGGTTGTACAAAGTCGGTTTACAGAGGAAAGAATCTTCATATCCGAAAGCCAAGCTTGCCTTCCACGTAAAGGAGAGTCTCATCCGGACACGGGAGGAAGTCTTATGTCTTGTATCTTCACGTCCCATCAGTCCAGCCCACGTCACATAGTCCGGACGCCCGAGGACCCCTTAATTCAGGACTCCCTCAGTAGCCCCTGAACTAGGCTTCAATGACAATGTGTCCGGCGTGCAGATTGTCTTCGGCATTGCAAGGCGGGTTCCTCCTTTGAATACTTTAAAGTAGTCCTCGAACACAGAAAACGTGCCAGGCTCTGCAAAACAAGTACCACACACAACCGTAGAGAGTATAATATTTCATGAGTCCCATCTACTGACAACTTTTGTAGCGAGACGCCACGTCTCCGCCCGGTCATTATTTCGAACCATTTTTAGCCTCCCGCTCCACGTTTCGAGATGCGGTTTTCATTGGCACGTCTTGTCAAAGCAGAGATCGTGTCCCCTTATTGCGCGATCCTCATCAATACGGGCGTGAGTAATCCAACCGCGCCGTTCGCACGACCCTTGGGGAACATGCGAGTTTTAAGGCAAATGGGGAGGCGCTTGATATTCGCTGCGTTTATAAAGAGATAAGGATTCATGCTTTCACCCACACCTTCTTCCTCTCTGCCCATCCGTTCTCGAGCTCCAGTGCCCAAACTTCCATCCTTTCCATCTCCAAAAAAGCACTCCGACCATGTTCGGATCTGGAGCGCAGGACAAGTGGATGGCCTCCTCCGTCACGGAGAAGGACATCACGAAGCTCCGGGAGGCGGGATACTTGGCCCAAGAAATCGCCCACCGGCTTCCGGGCAAGGGGCAGATCGTCCCCACCCCGGAGCCTCATGAGAGGGTGGTATTCATACCCCACTTCGTCCGTGGGCTGGGATTTCCTCTCCACCCATTCGTTCGCGGACTCATGTTCTACTACGGGCTAGATTTCCATGATCTGGCCCCAAACTCCTTCCTCAACATCTCGGCATTCATTGTCGTACGCGAGGCCTTCCTCCGCATCCCACCCCACTTCGGATTGTGGCTGAAGACCTTCAATGTGAAGCCGAAGGTGGTGGGCGGTCAACACGCAGAGTGCGGAGGCGCTATGGTGAGCAAGATGTCCAACGTCTCATGGCCCAAAGGCACCTTTATGGAGACCGTGAAAGGGTGGCATAAGCAGTGGTTCTACGTCACAGAGCCCCGCGACACCACCTAGGCCGCGGCTCCCGAATTCAAGTCCAGGGCCCCAATGCGGCTCACCTCCTGTCTAGAAAAGGGCATGGACTGGGTGTCGTTGGACGAGGTGTCCATGTTGCAGACGCGCATCAAGAGCATGGTGGACAAGAACATCAAGCTTCTCAATGTGATCCAGGTGATGCTTTTTCGCCGGATCCTTCCTTGCCAAAGCCGGACTTGCAATTTGTGGGAGTTCGATCCGGCCAAGCACCAGACCTTGCAACAGTTCTTCGGCATCACACACGAAGGCATCTAGAAGGTGTTGTTTAAGGCCAATGAGACGTGGCCGAAGACGACCGAGGACCGTGGGTACAACCTGACCCATCCTTCCAGTCCGGTAAGTTTTTCATATTTCAAGGTATATCCTTCACCCATACATTCAAGGGAGATGTCTAAGCTTCCCCATGTGTCTTTCCAGGGCTGGACAAGTAAGGCGGAGCGGATCCAGTGTCCGGCTCCGTTACTAGAAAACCCAGCAATCCCACTTCTGACGAAGATGCTGGTTTCGTCGCCCTACCAGGCGCCAGAGAAGAAGGCCCAGAAGAAGGGCCAGACGGGAAGAGGCGGCCTTCACCATAAAGGCACTTCGGACGTGACGTTTGGAGACGCCGAAACCCACTCCTCCCCCGCCACCAAGGACGAGGAGGAGGAGGAGCAAAGCTACTCTCCCCCTTAAGGGGGAAAGAAAGAAAAGGACTGCCTCCATGGATCTAGAGGCAGAGGCGTCCAAGAAGGGGAGGGTCTCCCTCGCGGATAACTCCACGTTGGACATTGATAGCAGCTCCGAGTGGCGCCCCAGGGAGAAGCCCCTGGCCGAATCGCAAGTACTCAAGGGCACTTATACACACATATATCCCACTTCTTTATTTTCATGGTTTTAATATGTCAAATTATACGCCGCAGTCCGGCCCACGCCTGCCCCCAGTGATCCTCATCTTCGGGGAATTCCCTGGATCCAAAGGCAATGGACAACGTGTCACTTCCGGCGGCCTCCTCTCCCAAGGCTACAGACGACGTCGAGGTGTTGTCCCGAAGGACCTTCCCAGGCCAGGGAGAGGTACAGGAGGCCGTCAGGGCGGCGCCAGAGGGTGATACCTCGGCCGCCGGACACATGGGGTAGCAAATCCCCCTGAATACCGGCGATGGGGGCCATATCCAATCCGCCCCCAGCCGAATACTATTCTGGAGGCCCATACAGCTCCGGAATCATGCAAGCAGCCTCCTTCGAAAGAAGGAGGTGCGCCTATTCCACCGGTGACCTCTGTCCATCCAGAGGCACCAGTACTCTACTGGAAGTGCTGCAAAGAGCTTCCATTGTTGAGGAACACCGTATCCTTATGGGTACGGTGGTTGAGAGGGTTCAGTCTGTTAAGAGCAGACTGACCGAAGCCTGCACCAGCCTTCTAACAGGCTTTGAGGTATGCAACGTAATTATGCAGAAATGATGTCATAGTATAGACAATAGCCCCTAAGACTCTGTCCGGTGCTTGAAAAGACAAGCCGGACAGAGGGTCAAATAATTTTTGCAGGAGACTAACCAGACATGTTTATGTGAATAAGCAGGCGTCGATGCTGGCTGCGACCTCCCATTCTACCGAAGTCTCCAAACTGAAGCAGAGTTT